GCCCTAAATAAAATCTCACAGAAACATACATTTTTTTCAGATCAACTTCAAATTTGGAACATAACTTATTTAGACAGAAGGCTTCAATTTTATAGTAATTTTAGAGTAAAACCTGTTATGTAAAATATTTATTATATATAAATTATTATAAAATTAGTACAGTGTATTTTCTTTACAATAAATGTAAACTTCTATAACTTTTTAATACTATCATTTTTTTTTTAAAATTCTGCTGATTGTCTTCTTTAAAAAGAGACCAACCTTATGTCTGTATTCCAAAGTGTTCATAAATTACAACAATTTAAGTTTGGATAGTGCACTTTCATGCCTATTTAAAAAAATGGGGGGTGACAGTTAAGGGGTTAAGGGGTTTAGACTTTTCTTTGTACTTCTTTACATGTTCTAACTTTTATTTATGTACATGATGGTCTGAAAACTATTTTGAACTGAACTCCATAAAGCCTGCTGTATCATATTTGATACACCAATTTCTAAGGCCTCTAAATGATCAATACTTTGCCTTATTGTACACAATCTGTTACACGCCTTCTGTCATCTGTTTATACTTTTTTAGCAAATAAAAGGCCACGTCCACCCTCTGGTACATGTGTCTTTTTGCTGTACAATATTGCTGTGAAATCTACTGATTTTTGTAAAGTAAGCATAATTATAATATTGTTAGTAATATTTAAAGATGAACACTTACTGGACTGAAGCCAGTAGATTTACTTGATTATCCACACGTCATTTATTTTTTAGAAAAATCGTGTTAAAATGTGAGTATCAAATACGATGCATCAGGATTTTGAGTAAGGTTTATATTTGCAAATCTGTTGTATTATATGTTGTGCCCCCCACAATACAAACTACACAGCGTTGATCATAAAATTAAACATTTAAATATCATCTTACTAAAACATTATTGGGAGATATAGAGTGCTGACTGATTTATATACTTTTTATGGAAGTAGTCCGTTATTCTGTTTTGAAAATCTTATAAATTATAGCAACAGCATATAAATATCAGCAACAGCACCAAATTGCATATTTTTGCTCAGTTTGGGCTTCACCCTTTTTAATCCTCAAGAATGATCTCCATATTCTCCTATATCTTATTATATGAGGCATAAAAACCTTATGTATCAAATATGATACTTAACAAAACAAAACACATGCAAACCTTTTTACTTAAAAAAAGATGATTTCATATGTCAGACTTTACAGGGTTAAACTATTACTGTGCAGACGTCCCATCCTGGTGACGTGATGGTTCTTGGCATCATTGACACTCATTGTGTTATTGAGTACACTCGTCATCTCCCAACAAACCCTATTAAATATTCACTGACTAAAGCCTCTGTAAGGCCACTATAAGCACTTGGATCTGTTGTATTCTCTTTTATAGACATGAAATACTTTGGACATACTGTGTGAGGACACTTATGTCGCACTTAAAAATGTAAAAGCTTTGCTGCATATAACAAAAATAGGACATTATTTTAAAGAAATATAGCAAAATATAATTTTGAAATATAAGATTTCACAAAAGTTTGTTTTAAATGATAAAACAATAGATAGTGGATTGTTCAAAACTAAATGTATTAAATAAAATTTCAACATTAAGGGTCACCAAAAGATGTAGAGCTCCAAAAAGAACCTTAAAATGATTTCTTCAAAGAGAAAACAGGCCAAAATTGAAGTTGTTATTCATAGAAAACCTTAATCTCTACTGCAAATTTCAACCAAACTATGTTACAGACTTTTCATTAAGACCCTAAAGAATCATATCAACAAAATGGGCATCCTATGACCCCTTTAATTAATTCTTAGTCAATGCTCCTTTTCTTGTCAAAATGCATTGATTTAAATTTCAATCTCTTCCTTACTCCCCTTGCTTTCATGTGACTTTAGTGAACTAGAGTGCATAATTAGACTACAAATGGACTACATTTGATGTGATTTATTATTTAGTTAGTTGTTTTGGAAGCTCAACAGCCCCTGATCACCATTCACTTTCATTATGTATAATTTATCGTTTTTGTTTATCTTCGTAATCAAGTAAGTCATATTTGGGACAACATGTGGGTGAGTAAACATACAAAACTTACTAACCAAGGTCTAAAAGTTGTTTCTAAGAGGCATACTACAAACTGGGCTTAACTTGGAAAATAGCATTTGCTCAAAAGACATTTCCTGTTCTTTGAACGGTGGGTATCCTGTCTTGCAGGGGCACCTGTGCATGCTTTCTTTAAATAAGCGTTCCTTTTGCTTCATTTTAAAGGTCAGAAACCTCAGTTAATCAGGGCAGCGTGGGCCAGGACAGCATGCAGCTTTCTCTCTGGTCCTTTACTGATCTGATAGGACCGTGTGTCCGTACAGTAAGAGCAGTGTTGAGAACAGGGCTAAATCGCAGTGGCAGGCCCTCGGCTTCCGACGGTCCGTCCGCCCCCACCTGCGCTCGAGCCGTGAGTCTACATCCACCCATTACTTAATAACCGCTCGTCTCTGTGCCACCAGCTAGGATATATGGCAGTGCAGATATATGACATGTGCTCACAGACGCTGACCTTGTCACTCGTGCTGTCAGCCCACTGATCAATTCATGGAGGGAAAGAGAGCCAGAGAGTCATTTGGTGAAGCAGCATTCGGTCTGGGTATGTGCTCAACAGCTCCACACATGGAGTGCTTCCACTCGGAATGAGGATAGATCTTATTTTGAGGACGTGGTGCGTCACAAGCTGACGTACCGGCCTTCGTGTAATTTAAAGCTGTAATTCTTCCTAGAATAAGAGGATTTTTTTGGGGTGTCAGAAGCAGGACGGAGAGCCAATCTGCGGGATGAGATGCGACTTGTTTAACAGTTACTTGATCTTAATAATATCATTTAGAGTTTTTTTTCTTCGTTTTATGCTTTAAATATGAAAAACAAACCGTTTACGTAACATGCAGTTTCGCACAATGGCACTTCCTATGAAATGAGTGTTCAGTCAACATACATTCTTGCCAATGCAAAGCACACACTGTCCTCTCCCACTCGCCCCATTTATGACTAAAATAGACTCGGTGTAAGTGGAAGATTATAGAAGACTTAACTCATATATTTTATTTTTCATTTCCAGGGTATTTCCTGTGCTGACTTGAGAGAGACTGTAAGGAGGAGGTTTGCTTTAATCCTTTCAACATGGCAAGAGCTTCTTTCATCTGGTATTTTGTGGTCCTAAAACTCTGAGCTATAGTTCAGTAAGAGGAATTACAAATTTCTTCATAGCTTCAACACCCTGGGGTGCGTTTCTCAAAAGCAACTATGGTCGCAAGTTCCGTCATTACCTATAGAGTTCAATGGAACTAACGACCATAGTTAGCTAACGATGCTTTTGGGAAACGCAACCCTGGATGTTTAAAACGGTTTATGATGCTATTTTTTTTATTTATTTTTTGGTCTTAAAATGAGCTGAGAACCTAGGAAATCAGAAAACATTTGTGGTTTGTCCAAATATATATATATATATATATATATGCAAATTACCATTCAAAGGGATCAATAATTTTTTTAAATGTTTTTTATTTTTATTTGAAATGCATAAGTCTCTTATGCTCCTGGTAAAAAGGTAATATTGTGAAATATTACAGTTTAGAAACAATTTTCTATTTTAATATATTTGAAAGTGTAATTTAAATAGCTGTATATAAATAGAAAAACTGAATTTTATCTTTATTTAAGAATAGAAAGTCCAAAAGAAAAGCATGTTTTAGATTTTTTTTTTTGTCAATGTAAAAGTGTTTAATAAAAGTATTTAATGCTTCCTTGCTGAATATATTTAAAATTATATTTTTAGCAAATAAAATCTTACTAAAACCTTATACATCAAACTTTGAATGGTAGTGTATATACATATATATTTGGACAACCCAGATGTTTATTTTATTTTTTTTGTCATTTGTTTGTTTGTAGCTTTATAGTGTATTTTTCACTTTCAAATAAAGATGCTTCATATTTTAAGTGGTGAATGATTTGTATGACATAGACAGGCTAATAATTCTACATTTATCTACGAATACACTCAACCTTAAGATGTCTCATTTAAAACGAATGATAAATCACTACCTAGATCAACTAATAGAATCACATTATAAGAAATACTGTTACAGCCCTTCAGTTCATTACATGCATGTAACTTTTCAAAATAATGTACAGCAATTTCCATAGTGGCATCTCACCTGTTACTCACCACTTGTGTTTTTATGTTCTGTGTGACGTTAATGCCTGTGTAAATGTCAATGATGCTGGCTTCCTATAAACCTGTGTCTGCTGTGATCATTAGCACTTTTAATGGGTGATAATGAGGTTTACATGTTTGCAGTTACTTGTAAAAGGCATGTAGACTCATTTATTTATGCAGATTCATGTTCAAAATACAAAGTCATGTTTGCATTTAGGTGCAATATAATATGTAATTTACATAATGATAAGCAATATACAATGTACAGTATATCTCAAGCACTTTGTAATATTGTCCAACATTATTGTCACAAAACGTGGGTAAGCTTCTTGGTTGAAGTGCTACAGATCATCGTTTCCCACCATGTGAGGAGAACATACTTTTGCACGTAGTATACAGTGAGCATCTGGCATTATGTGTGTGGTAAATATTGGTAATATTACCAAAGTATAGCATTTCATGTCATGAGAAAACTGTTGCAAAGTGCGAGGATGCAACCAAACCAGCCGAACAGAAATGGCTCTTTACAATGGCCTTCTTTTACTTCATTGAGAATAACTCAATACTAATTAGCAGGATTTGTAATGGTTTAGTAATATTTCTTCCATTTATACACATTTGAAAAACAAAGGTTCCAAAAGAGGGGTTTCACAGCCATGCCTTAGAAGAACCTTCTAAAGCTTTCAGTGAACAGTTCTAAAAAGAACCTTTTCGTTCTTAGTGTGAAGAACATTTGAATCGTCTAAAGAACCACTATAAAGGTTCCATGGATGTTAAACGTTCTTCATGGAACCACAGATGCCAATTAAGAACCTTTGTTTTTAAAGAGTGTAACTCTAAATAGGAGGCCAATAACTGTAAACACTGCACAAGTCAATTGTAGATTGATTGGTTTCTCGATTTGGTTACATGTGAACCACCCTGACTGATCAGCGTTCTGAGGTCCTGGTAGGTCTGTTGTGTGACTCTTGCATGCGGTTCCTGGTTCTGAACTGGTCCAGAGGTGATGGAGACAGCAACAGGACACCAGAAACTCTTCTGGTGAACAGATAGATGCCACTCTTAAAAATAAAGGTTCCACATAACACTGATGCCACACGTGAACCTTTTAGAAGAACTTTTTTTTCTGTTGTTCTTCAAGTTGGAATGCAGAAACCAACAGCCTGATCTAAAGAACCTTTTTTTTAAATCTCCAAAGAACCTCAGCCAACTCAAGAACGAGAAGGAGGTTCTTTGCAGTGGCAAGGAACCACTGAAGAACCTTTATTTCTAAGAGTGTGGGTCAGCAGGAGGCATCGGTGAATGTCATATGCTTTAGCGAGAGTTTGGGGGTGTGAAAGAGTGCATTGAGCTTGTTCTTTACTCGCAGATTGAAAGCATCATCATGGAGCTACAGCTACTTCCCAGCCTCATCTAGATATTTGCGGTTCAGTCCCGCCTGTTCCCTTTGATTCTCGTTTCGCGCCATTTCGATCATGTTTCTCAGCAGGTGGAAGGTGAGGTCGATGGAGATCGGAGGGTCGTCGTTCCGTTTGGAAAACTCCGTGAGCTCCTCTAAGCTGTTGTCCTCGTGAGGAGAGCGCAGCTGCGCCGTGGGGAAGTGCGGGAGATGCAGGACACCGCCTGCCTTCTGCGCTCCGAGGTTTCTTTGCAAATACTGAAGGAGTTTTTCGCCCACGAGGTAGGACATGGCGTCGTCTCCTGCCCTGTTTAACAGCACGTCGTCTAGCTGGCTGTTCATGAGGCTCAGGTCGCGGGGTCGACAGGTGCTCAGCGGGATGTGGGTGGTCAGTAAGACTGAAGTTATGAGCAGGACCAAAGGGACGGGCTTCATGCTGGACACAGCAGCGCGCTTCCTGAGGGAAACAGCCAGGTGTGTTACTACAAACCAAAGGTTTAGTACACAACTACACTGCAAAAGTTTCTGTTAAGTGTTCATTTAAAATACAAATTTGAGACTACGAAATGAGTTATTTTTATATTGCGTAAAATCAAAAAAGTATAAGTTTATATAGGTTGCAGGCCTAGTGCGGATATAAATGACAAAATTCAAATGAAACTTTTTAAATGAAGTATACAAAAAATTTGTAGCCTACATATATTTAGTATGTTGGTATATGCAGTATTTAAGTAAACAAATATAAAAGTGCTAATAAAAATGACAAAATTGACATTATGAAATTAGTTGTTTCGTGTATTTTTGTTAAATTAAGTAAAAGATATTGAATGTGTAATATGTGTTTTTTAAATTATGTATATAAATAAAAAGTAGCCTAAATGTATTTTTTAGTAAATATTACCAAATAGTGCTAATATAAATTGCAAAATTGTTGTTTTTATATGTATATTTTTAAGTATCTAAATTAAAACTTTATATAAAAGTGCTAATGTAAATTTACAGGATTTTAAAATCGTATTTTGATTTATTCGAATACAAAAGTACTAGTATAAATTATAAAATCAATAAACAATTATCTTTTAAAATTATTAATATTAGTTACAAAATTAAGAGTTGGCTATTTTTAATTGAACATTAGATTAATGTACATAGAAAATAGACTTTTGTATTTTATGTGCAATATTAAATTATTGATGTAATGTCAATATATATATATAAATGTATAAATCGTGCATCAGCTAAAATCGGTGATAAGTTAAAAGAATTTGCATCTGAACTTATAAAGCAAATAGCTAAATATCAAATAAATTATTGAATAAAAGTAAAACACAAACATGATCACTGTTCTGCGGTTAAATAACTATAATAGTCATGCCACTATCGTAATAAATAACATTTTTTTAAAAATAAAAATGCCTAAAAATAAACAACGGAATTAATACTTATCTACTTTAATAGCTACATAAACCGAATCTTGAAATCAGACGCCATGTACTCCTGACTGAACAATCAGCTAACTCAATGAACAATAATGACAGTCCTGTACAATATCAACACAAATTCTCATGCTCGCAGCTAAGCTTGAATGGCCTCAGTCAAGAAGTTGAAAGCAAGTCATACAAGGTAACTTACTCGGTCGTCTTCTGTTGCTTCAAAAGTACTTGTAAGGAAGAGTGTTTGCAGACAGACTGGAGTGAAGCTCCTGGAGCTCAATGGTTATATACATCACACACCGCTCCATTGACGTCAGTCGAGCTGCATAAACTGCTTGTAAATGAGGCAATTCTGAACTGAAACGAAGAATGGAGTAAAGGAGCTGTATCCGAAGGACAAAGTGAGACGTTTCTTTATCTCTCCAAAGTTTTCAGTTAAAAAACATCATCTTGATGGTGTTGCAAAGTCATAAACCTGGTTTCAAAGACAATATATCCAAAGTTGTAACGGACAGGTAATCGGTTAATGTTTTGATTGGTCCTTTGGCTGTTAAATAACTTTTTTTTTAAACGCACCTGAGCAAAATGAGCTAAGGAGCTGCTGTCGTGATGGATTTCTGCATGGCTGCTCATCTGTGGTCTGGAGGAGAGCAGAAGCGCGACGGGGATACGAAAGCCTCCGTCTCTGTCCATGGTGCTGAAATTCCTCAAGATGCAGCCAGACATCATTCATTGGCTGGCTCATATATATATATATATATATATATACTGTATTTGACGAAATGTTGTACATATATTTTTATTAAATTATTTCTGTTTCATGTCTTACACTTCAATATGGCTGTGGTTTGTTATTAGGTAGTACACACAAAAATGATTTGAAAATAATCTGTCTAGAATTAATGTATATGAGCTAAATTCACAGTATTAGAAGTACTTTTGCGAACTTCAAGTTATAATACTGACATTAATATTAGTAAAAATACACCATGTCATGTAGTCATGAATTAAAATGCTTTCTGACTAAATTATAACGTTTTAAAGAGTGGCTGAGCAAAACGTATTCAACAGCCAGATGCAGAGGTTTAATCACTGTTGACTATTGTTTCTGGCTAGCCGTCAATTCCCCAGAGTGACGAAGCATTAGCTGGACATGCGGAGATATTTATATAAGCCTGACACGCTCTCGAAGGAAAATCCTAAACATGGCTTTACCTTCCTGATCAGTGTGAAAAAACTAATATATATATAGAGTCTAATAGCAGTAGGTGTGATTAGATTTTTTTGGAAGGATGACAGTTAGCAGATACACCAGTGACAGCTTTGTCCAGTCATAGAGCTGATCTGCAGACTGAAGCTGTGAATTGCAGTCAAGCTGAGGAACAGCCACCCTACATCCTATTGGCAAGGGCAGTAAAGAACAGGGTCTATTGCAGGGTTCCTCAAATCTTGCCCTGGAGGGCCAATGCGCTGCAGAGTTTAGCTCCAACCCTGATCAAACTTACTTACCTGTGATTCTCTAACGATCCTGAAGACGTTGATTAGCATGCTCAGGTGTGTTTGATTAGGGTTAGAGCTAAACTCTGCAGGAAAGTGGATCTCGTGGGCCAGATTTGAGGATCCCTGGTCTATTGGTTCAACACTGTGCTAGAAAAAATCTGTAAATTCAGGCCAAGATTTCAATGTCAGCCGTTTCCTTTGAAATATAGACCATCTACACAAATTTCACCAGTCCATAAATGTGTTAAAGCACATGACATAAGGATAAGTTAATAATGGGTTAACAAAATTCTTCATACATAGAAATCGGAAAATAAGACATATTTGATAGATTTACTGTCTTGGATAAAATACTTTGAAGAGATTCAGGTATGAGTGATGTTTTTATGATGAACAAAGGGCCTAGATCATGGAAAGGCTTGCCCCTTGAAATTAGTCACCACTAATAAATCTAGTTTTAAAGCTTGGTTGTAAACATTTGTATTATTTGGCTTTTAATTTAAAGTGTTGATGTCTTGTGTGTTGTTTTAACGTGATGCATTATTTTTAAATATTTTTTTATGTCCTTTGAATTTTTCATGATGTTTCAGTACTTGAAGGAGTTGTAAAATGCATTAAAAATAAAGGGAATGAATGGTCTGGCATCTGTGAAAGATGTATTTTTTACACATTATTGTATTGTGTTAATCAATGCAAGTAGAAGATGTAACGCCCATAACTTCACTTCTGTCAATCACATGTTCCTGAACTTAATTAGTGACCACAGAAGACACCAAAAATGACTCAAAATGCAGCCACATCCTGTAACAAACAGGCCTGCTGTTTTAAGTGAGCAACACACCATATTTCACCATCTAAACAGTGGTAAATACAGGCATATAAATCAAATGTATAGAATTCTTTACAGAACCCATAATCACAAATATTGAAATAGCGTTAATTGCAAAGGTTAATAAAATGTCAGAGGTCTGAATTACGTTATTGTCAGCTTTGACCTTTGTTGTGCAAACTTCATCTGTAAGCTTTCTGCGCCTATGTGTGAGTCTGTTACTACATTTATTTAATAAAACTACAAACAAAAATATTCCCGTGTGTGAGGTAGTGGTCAATCTGGAACATCTCATTACATCTTATTGGCTTTCCAGGAGAGGTAAGAGTTCCAGGCAACAGCCACAATCTGAACAACAGCCAATCTGAAAAACGCAAGCATGAACATATTACTGTATTAGAAATCATGTATTTATAATGAATGTGACCAAATGCAAATATCACATTCGTGTCTTAAAACACGAATACAGAAAACAATACAAATCCAGATGGTTCCCAGGTGTGTGCGTGCGTGTATAGATATAGATACAGATAGACCGACTGACTCTAGTTGTTAATCCCAGTGTGGAAGTTCAGGTGCCAGAAAGCAGTAGCATCAAACAACGCACAAACAAAAAATCGGTTTTAAAAACTCCCAATAGTCCAAATGAAAACGAGAGCCTAATTAAAAAGATTTCAAAAGTTTCTCAGCTTCGTTCCCTTTAATAAGCTTTCATAATGCTGCTGTGCCACACACTGTGTTGCAGAGGCACGTCCTGTACGTTCTTTTCCCAGTGACGCCTTTAAATCTCCAGCGCTGCTGGATTAGTGCCCTGCTGCAATGGATGCATTATCATTATCAATGATCACTTGACTTTTGAGGCTAAAAAGGGTGTTTTTTAAAACCAGAGCTTTACCTGTGGTGGAGAGGGATGAAATAAAAATTGGCGATCTGCACCGGAGGCCAAAGCTGGAGAAATGAAGAGACGTTGCATTAAATAGAACATTACTGAATGAACTGGAGAAAGAAAAAGAAAAGAGTGTCAAGCACAGCAGGAAGACACTTACATAGTAATTGGAGATCAAGGCATCCATGTAGTCCTATTGAGATGTGGAAAATGCAGAGTAAATATTATTCATTTTTAATAATAAGAATAATAATTTAATTAATATTATTTTTATATATAAAACCACCCACAAAACCCATTCTGGCAGAACACACACATTTTATTCAGTATAAAAAAATGTTAGTTCTAATGAATTATTTTCAGGCAAAGTTTCATAACTAGACTTTGAACTGAACATATTGAAATATATGAAGTGTTTCTGACCCTGCCGCTTGTTCCTATCCAATGTTCCTTGTAATATTTTGAGCAAATTGACATTTCTTCAAGCATAAGCTGAAGGACTATGTGAGTACCTTAATACCAAATTTTGATTCATATAATTTTTTAATGTAATTAAAATGAATCATGCTGTTGCAAAGACCCATATCAGAACCATGACAGCCGCTTTTAGAAGGAACCTACCAGAACAAAAAAAATACCCCTGTATATTATATTATGTACTTTCTAGTCATCAAAGTATCCTGAAAAAATGTACATGGTTTTCACAACAATATTAAGAAACATAACTGCTTTCAACATTGGAGTTTAGGGTAATGTCTACTGAAAATTCTGACATCAAAGGAATAAATTACATTTTAAAATAAAATAGAAAGAGTTACTTTAAATTGTAATATTTCACAATATCACTGTTTTTACTGTATCATTTATATGTGACCCTGGACCACAAAACCAGTCTTAAGTCGCTTGGGTATATTTTTAGCAATACCCCAAAAAAACATTGTATGGGTCAAAATTATTGATTTTTCTTTTATGTCAAAAATCATTAGGATATTAAGTAAAGATCATGTTCCATGAAGATATTTTGTAAATTTCCTACCGTACTTAATTTCTGATTAGTAACATGCATTGCTAAGGACTTAATTTGGACAACTTTAAAGGTGATTTTCTCAGTATTTAGATTTTTTTGCACCCTCAGATTCCAGATTTTCAAATAGTTGTATCTCGACCAAATATTGCCCTATCCTAACAAACCATACATCAATAGCTATGTTTCCATCCAAACATGCAAATTTAACTTATGCGCAAAACTGGAATATCGCATAAAACATTTGCGAATAAAGCATCGTTTCCATCCAACGAGTCAAAGAGAACAAAATTGTCACTTCCTGATAAACTGGCACTAAATATCTCTAAGAAAACTAGGAGAAGCCACTGAATATAATAATTTTCATATGTATCAAATTACTTGTGCTTCAGAGAGAGCTACAAGCAACAATCTAACTACAAGCAACAGCACAAATAAATACAATAGAGTAAAGATACAAATAAAATAAACAGTGCTTTTCAGTTTTTTTTAGGTAGGTCTAACAGTTTTTAGGTACAAAAATTGAATAAAGTAATCAAATGTAAAATAACATTGCATATTTGACTGTATAAATTAAAGATTAATCTTTATTAAAGTTACAAAAGCTATTCAATCAAGAGCAGTGAGTGATTTCTTTGTTGCTGTTTGTAGCGTCTGCGTAGGATCATGCATGATTTTTGGGGTTTTATGGTTTAAGAAGACCC